CAACAGAAGTGCAACCAGGATGCTCCTTAAGAGTCGAGGATGGTGAACCCTCATCTCACCTGCTCTGGGCGTGTGGTCAGGACGGGCCCGTCCTTGGAGAAGGACATCATGCTGGGAAGAGTGGAGGGTCCAAGGAGAGAGGGGTCCTGCAGGGAGACGGACGGACCCAGTGACAGAAACAGTGGTCTTGAGCACGTCAGAGTTAAGGAGCAGGGCACAGGACAGGCAGGGGTCAGATCTGCTGCTCAGCGGGGTGCAGTGGGTGTGGTCAACTCCATGGCATCTGACAGTGGCCATCACAGCAGGCGTCGAGGGAATGCATCCATAGAGGAGGACTTGGGTAGTGTTTCTTCTCCCCTCTGAGGTAAAACCTGTCAATAAAGAACAGTTATGTTAGCTTTTAACAGGCAAGTTGGAAAGCAGTGAGGTACAAGCCTTGGTCACTAAGCATTAAAAATTGAAGAACACTCAGAAAGCATCTAATAAAGTCTCAGACAGCAAGGGGCCATTCTCTTCCTGGCCTGGGCGGGCCCACTGCCCCCGTGGAATCTTCTGGAAGTGGGTGGGGGATTGCAGGGAGTCTGTATACAGGTTGAAGGGTGTGGTCTTCTCTCTGGAGACCCTGGGTTGCCCGAGGGTTCAGCACTCAGCCAGTAACTGAGAAGCTGGTGGTTCAGACCTACCCAGAAGCACCTTGGGAGGTCAGCTCCGCATGGCCCCAGTGTCCAAGACCTCACAGGGCGACAGGATTCATTGTAGTGAGTCTTGATCCTCTCTCCTCTGCCCAGGGGCCCTCCAGAGGGCCGGGTCCGCCCGCGTGGTGAACGTGAGTTCCTACCGACAAGCTTTCGGCTTCATTGACGAGCAGCACCTCACGGGGGCCGGCCGGCCACTGCGTCCCAAGGAGATCTATGACTGCACCAAACTGCTCTTAACCTCCTTCAGTGCGGAGCTTGCCCGGAGACTGGACGGCACAGGTGAGACCCTGACACCAGCTGCTCTGCACCTGTGTTCCCACCGCCGCAGGGCCTGACCTCAGAACACCCAGCATCCCCACACCAGCTGCCTGCCCCCTCCGCTTACCGTTTCTGTACCCTATTTTCTCCCAGCCCCCCTTCACATCTCTTAAACCGCTTCCAGTTCTCTCTTAGCCCCAGCGGCCGTGTCCACCCTGGGTCTCCTGATGCCAACACTGTCCTTCGCACTCCCCTCGAGACCTGCCGCTCTTGACTGGTTGGATGCCCCACTGGGGTGGGCTGTGGACCGCTGGTGTCACTAGCACCTTCCCGACGACAGTTCCTCACAGTCCTGGGCGCCCTCTTCCTTCACGGCACACAGTGTGGTCACACCCGACCTCGACGTCTTCCTGTTTTCCCCTCCTTCCCTTACGGCTTGTGTCTGTTCCTGGAGTGACCACATTTGATGTCTTCCTTCCTCACCTAACACTTGTGTCAGCTCTGGCGTGACGTCCGCCTGGTCCAAGCTCCCCTTGACCCTGTCACGCTCTCTCTCCTGTTGTGTGCGGGTCCGTCAGGGATAGCCGTGAACTCGGTGGAGCCTGGGATCGTGTACACGGACATCATGAAGCACTACTCCTGGTTTTATCGCTTCCTCTTCTGGCTCAGCAGCTTCTTCATCAAGGTAAGTGGAGCAGGACCAGCTTGGCCGTGGCGGGTGGGCAGGCCCTGCCCCTCTGCATCCTTCCCCGGCCGAGGCCTTGCTGCGTGACTCCTCCCGACCTCTTCTCCACCATTTCTTTCTTTCTTTAAAGACTTTTTTCTTTCTCTTTTTTTTTTTTAACTTATTATAAATTTCAATGAAAACTTACAGAGACTTTGGATTTCCATTCATTCATTGTTGCACTTTTCTCCCCTCCCAACCCTCCCCCCTAGTACACTACCCTCTTGGAAAAATAAAAGAAAAATTCTTTCATTGTTGTTTTACAATCCCTACCCCCAAGTCCACTCCACTATGCAGCCTTTGCTCTGGACTCCTGTCATGACAAAAATACCTAATCACACATCCCTTTTAAACAGTTTTCTCCCTCATCTGTTCCAATGCAGTATACATTATTGAACCCATCTTTCTCAGTCTCCCCCCAACCTCGAGGTCAGTCCTGTTTTACAACAGTGGCACCATGCAATATTTGTCCTTTTGTGATTGAGATCTTTCACTCATCATAATGTCCTCCAGGGTCACCCATTTTGAATAATATTGCATGAGTTCCTTCTTTTTCAATGCAGCATAGTATTCCATTGTATGAATATACCATAGCTTCTCTATCCATTCATTTGTTGATGGGCAGTTAGGTTGTTTCCAACTCCTTGCTATTGTGAACAAAGCTGCAATAAACATGGGTGTGCGTATACCTGTTTGGGTGTCAGTTATGGTTTCTTTGGGGTATATTCCCAGTAGTGGAATTGCTGGGTCAAATGGTATCTCTAGTTTGCAACTTTTTGAGAAAGAGTCACACCACCTTCCACAGTGGTTGCACCATTTTACACTCCCACCAACAGTGAATAAGGGTTCCAGTTTCTCCACAACCTCGCCAGCATTTGTTGCTGTTCTGTTAAATTTTGCTGCTCTTACTGGGGTGAGACGATATCTCATAGTTGTTTTTTCTCTGCCATTTCTGCAGAGTCCCCGGCATGGTGCAATTCCCGTTCTCTACCTGAGCCTGGCACGGGAGCTGGATGGCATTTCTGGGAAACACTTTAACAGTTCCTGCGTGGTAAGCCTTCCTGCCGAAGCCGCTCAGGACCCTCACACAGCCCGCAGCCTCTGGAGCGCCACCGTCCGACTAACAAGTCTGGACAAGATGGACTGACCCCTTTGAACCGCCTGCCGCTGCGCAGCGTGGGTCTCTGATGACGGGGATCCCTGAGGCGTGGCTCAGAGCGTGCTGGGCTGCTTACCCCCTGCCCCCCACAGTGACCCCTGGCTCTCCACTGCTTATCCCCCTCCCCCCAGCAACCCCTGCCCCTCACCGGATTGTGCCCCAAGAATCAGCCATCTGGTCGAGTACAATGATCAATCTGTCTATTGGCTTAGTGGCTGGGAGCTCAAACAAGGTCCCATGTCAGTTTTGGCCTCCTCTCCATCACCAGTTCTCCAGCAGAGACATCCCCCCATCCACTGGGCACGGGAGTCTTGTGATAGGACCATGGCCCCGGTGGTCATGACAGGAAGTGAAATGCTGGCCAGAGGGGAAACATCTTGGTGCCTGGACCATGCTACCTGGATGAGGGAGGGAAGTACCACTTGGCATCCTTTGTTTAAGACAAGCATCATAGCCTGTTGACAGCACCCCTTCTCACAGGATGCTGTCTCCCAGCTGGTGTGGGGCCTGGGCTTGTGGGTCCTCACTCTGTCTTCCAACCAGACTAGCCGCTTTTGGGTGATGTGCCATGTAATAAGACCTGTGAATCAAAACCCAGCAGATCCAGTGAATTGTGTGGCCACGGGCCTGTTGCTTTTGTTTTCTGAAGTCTTTGTCCATTTATGTCAAATTTCATGCACCAAGAAATCTTGTTAGATTACATTACATTTGCACGTCTAATTCCTGAACTGACATCTTTGTGAGACTGAGTCTTCCTGATCTGTGAGCAGAAGTGGCCTCCACTTCCTAAACACCGTGCCTCTGGACACTCTATGATCTTTGATAAATGTCGACCGTTCTAGAACGACTTCAGACCTTTTGTTCACAGGGTCACTATGAGTCGTGCTCAACTGCACAGCATTCAACAACACCACCAATCTTGTGTAAGGAGACTCTGGTGTTCGAGTGAGTACAGAGCTGCTCTGGCAACGTAAGGCAGGGAGTTCAAATCCACCAGCTGCTCTGACAGAAAAATGGGCAGTCTCCTCCCGTGCGATTTACAGCCTCTGAACACCCGCTGGACAGTCAGCTAGGAATCAGCTCTGACTGCAGAGAACATAACAACAAAATCTTTACAGAAAATAGAATATATGTGTCTCTAAATATCTTGAACAATTTTGTTAGATTCGTTACCTTATTCTTACTTTGAATTCCATATTATCATGTATTTTGTTGACTATTGCAAATGATAGTTAATACAGGGTATTCGTCTTATATCAAGTGTGCTTAATGAGTTTTTTAAACATCTACTAAGCTATTTTTATTTTAAAAATTCTTTATAAAGCTCTTTTTAGATCAATGGGGTTTTTTTACATAGAAAATCATAATCGCAGTTTTATTTTTTACCCAGTAGAATTTTTTAAAAAATATTTTTTTGATGTTGAGAATACACACAACAAAACCATACCCCAGTTCCACTCTCTGCGTGCATGTTCCCGTGCCATTAATTGCACTTTCCACGTTGTCCAGCGTGTTCACGCCTCCCTTTCCTGACTCACTCATCCTCTGTCTAGTGAACTCTTGGCTCCTGAGTCTCCTGACTAACCTTTCCCACTGCTGTTGACAGTTTGATCCCATACAGGTTAAAAGAGCCCCGTGCTCAAGGGAAACTCTCTTTACCACATGGGGGATCTGTGAACATTCCCCCTCACGGATGTTTAAGCTGTGTGGGGAGTTACAGACGCCCCCTGAAAAGACTGACTTGTGGCTAAACTGAGATTTGAACTTCACTGTCGAGCTCCCTGGTCAATTGCAGCGTTGACTTCTCCTCCTTGACCTTGATCTTGACAGAAGCAGTTTGGACCAGCTTTGTGGGCGTCTTGGGACTCTTTCCCCTGTGCTCAAGGCATTGATTGTCTGTACAGCTTGTGATTTCCAAACACAGCCTGATCTTCGAGCCTGTACCCTCACTCTTGACGGAGGGGTGCAGAATTCATTCCCCTCTGGCCTCAGTTCTGCCCTCCCCGCATCGTTCTGGTCAGTTCTTCAGTCTCCTGGGAATGTTTAGGCTGGAGGGCTTCTCCTCCTGGGTTTGAACCCAGCATAAACTAAGTGTCGTTTGGCTCTTAAAAATTGTTCGTGGGGATATTTTTGGTTTATGGTTTAAATACTTAGTGCAGTAGTTTCAGGGGTTCATCTCGCCTCCGTGGCCCCCAAATATCTGGATCTATGAAGATTTTCAATTTTTTTTCTGCATTTTCTCCCTTTGGTCTGTAGAATCTTTGACCAGAATCTTTCGTAGTGGTTACCATGCAGTTAGTTCTTGTCTAATGGCAAAGGGGACAGTCGTGTAGAGGCCATGACTTGTGCACACTCGTTTCCCCCCCTGTTCTGGGGCTGCGATCCAAAAGGTCCAGTGTTTGAAACCGCTACCGATTCCAGGCAAGAATCTGCGTCCATCAAGATTTACAGTTTTGGGACCACTTCAGGGGATTCTGCTCTGTTTCACAGGCTCTCTGTGAGTTGGAATTGACAGTCGTTTTGTTTATACCTAAATCTTTCTTTCTCATTGTTCCAGGGGAATAAAGACCAACTGTTACGTCTTGATGGCTGCTGGCAAGCTTCTAAGACCCCAAGAACTTTGCAGAAAGTTAGGAGGGGAAGTATTTCACCAAAGAGAACATTCACATAACCACAGACATGTGAGAAGAGGTTTGATCTCTGAGCCAGCAGAGAGCAGAAAGGCTACACAGTGAGCGGCTGTTCCTTAAGAGGGGGATATCAGGCTTGGAAAGGCAGAGGTCAGCCAAAGAGAGGACGGGTTGACACGGTGACTGTGAACAATGGACTCGAGCCTGTCAGACAGGAAGGTGCAGGATAGGTCAGGGGTCACATCTGTTCACAGGGTCACTGTGAGTTGTAGGTGACCTGATGGCATCTAACAACCACAACAAACAACAAAACCAGAAAATAACAAACGCTGGCAAGGAGGTGGGAAACTGGAAGCCCTCCTCTGTCATCGGTGAGGGTGCAGGATGGTTTCGTTAACGTGGAGAACAGCAGCATGGCGCTTCTTCAGAAAGCCTGACAGTAGATGAGTTAGGAGATCTGATCCGGCGAGTCCACTCGCGCCTCATACATCAGCACTTGAGAGAGGAGACGCTAACAGATATTTGCACACTCACGTTCATGGCAGAGCCAATCACAAGAGCCAGAAGGTGGAAAGGGCTTAAACGCCAGCCACGTATGGACAGACACACACAACGTGGTGCACAGAAGCAGTGGACCACCGCTCAGACAGCAAGAGAAGTGGACGTGCGACCACGTGGGTAGAGCGTCAAGGCTTCGTATGGGGGGCCTCTTCACACAGAACCTCATTTACACACAGCAGCCCTCATGGCCATCCGGTGAGAACGGACTCAGAGCTGACCCTCAGCGGGCTTTCAGAGGCAGTAAACCACGCGACAGGAGATTGCCCATCCTCCTGCAGAGCAGCTGGTGGATTAGAACCACATGCCTTTGAGGTGGCAGCCCAACTCCTTACCCACTAGGCCACCAGAGCTCCCCAGAGGAATATTTGACACTTTTATTTCATACCTCATAGCTCTTCCACTTTTCTGCTCTGTTTATATGTTAGTGTTACATTTTGGTTGACTTCCTACCCTTCTCCCCTGGATCCTCCTCCCCAGGAAATCAAGAGATGAATTGCACTGGGAAAGTCAGCTGTCAGAGACCTCTCCAGAGTACTGAAGAGCAATGATGTCAGGCTGGAGACTAAGGTGCACCCGATCCAGGCCATGATCTTCACAATTACTAGCTATGCATCAGAAAGCTGGACAGTGACTAGGGAGGATACAAGGAGAATTGATGCTGTGGTGCTGGTGAAGAGTATTGAATATACCACAGACGGCTAAGAGAACAAAGAGGTTTATCCCAGAGAGGGTGAAACCAGGCTGCTCCTCGGAGGCAAGGATTCTGAGGCTCCGTCTAACATACTCTGGACATGTTGCAAGGAGGGACCAGTCCTTGGAGAGGGACATCATGCTTAGGAGGGTGGAGGGACAACGCAGGAGAGGAAGACCCTCAGTGAGATGGACTGACTCAGTGACTGGGGTAATGGGGGTCGGTGTGTCAGAGGCAGTAAGGTTGGCTCAGGACAGAGCAGGGTTCAGAGCTGTTGTACCGAGGGTCTCTATGAGTCACAACGGACTCCTAACAACAAGAAGTCAGATCTTCCTCCAGTTTACGTTTCTCCAGCCGTGACTGGTTTTGTTTACTCTATCCTCAGCTGGCATTAAGCCAATATTGTATTTTTATAATTGATGAATTTTTTGATGGACCAGCGACTCACTTTTTGTATCCCTCTTGTTCTTATGTTTTAACCTCCCTCCTTTTTAGAAACGTATTAAAATGCTTGTTGTATGTGTGTTGTTGGTTGGTGCTGCTGAATTGACAAGGACTCACAGCGACTCTGTGAACAGCCCTGAACCTGCCCTGCCCTCGTCATCCTCGCCCTCCTGAAATGACTTGAGCCGTTGCTGCTGTCACTGTGTCACGCCGTCCACTTTCTCAGACCCTCCACCTTTCCCAGTGTGAGGAAGTCTTTGTCCCTGCCATCTTTGCAGGCCTGGATAGCCGATAGCGGCTCACTTCCTGGTGCATAGGACACTTTTATTAGTAAACTCATGGTTCTTGGGATTGTAGGAATTTGAGGCCCGGGAGTAGAGGGCAGGTGCATTCCGGTGGGAGTGGAGGGTGGGGTGGGGGAACTCTGTATTTTATTTGGCCAGGTTCCTGGGAGGATTATACGCATGTGAGACCACTTGGAATGAAATGTTTGACTTGGAAATTTTTGGATTTCACAATTGTGTGCGTACAAGTTTACAATTTTGAATTATCACAGAAGAATCTATCTCTTTGCCTAGTTCATTGTCAAACAATAGCATTAATATCACATGCAAGCACAGTCTTTCTGAAGATCATTAAAAAATGACTGAAACAGTACATTG